ATTGTTTTACAATATTTCAGGGAAAGGCGAGATGAGCATTTCAATATTTTCGGACGAATTTTTGCCACCTTAATTGCTAGCAAAATGCATTGCGAGTAAGAATTCGTGTTGCTGTAAAAATGAGGTTGGGGCAGATACAACAAATCAACCTTTTTAAATGTTATGTTATTTAAAAGAATAAGCAAAGAATTTTCGCAAACCCTGATGAGACGCCGGGAGGTGTTCTTGTCATCGACATCGATGATATAGGTGATGAACGCATTGACACCGCGATTACGTGATACAAAAGCCAGCAATGAAGTCAAATCGAAGGTGTTCACTCGCCACTTCTCATCTCCTTCAAGCATCGGCCATGTACCAAAGCTCTGAAAACTCTTTGGCGAAAGCATTGAGTTGCCGGATGTCGTGCAGTTCTCCAAGCAAAAATGAATTTTGAAAATCCAAATTCTTGCAATAGCTTCTGCAGCTTTTTTGAAATAAAAATCTTGTTAAGTGGTGTACTTGGACTATCCAGTAGTTCTGCGTTTTATAAGAGGCACAAGGGTTGTTTCGCTTTTGTAAAAAGCGGATGAAATTGAAGTTTGAAAAGGCAAAAAAGCTGAACCAACAGCATCGTGCCGTCTTCTGGTACCCTTAGGAGGATAATCCAATGCTGATCACAAAAATCATATTCTTTTCGAGATTTTTCTACGGAACTACGGAAGCCATATGCTGCAGGGTCAATATAGTTTGCTTCAAAAGTGTAACTAGGTTTATTGTCACTTGAATCAAAGAACTATTTCCAGATCACTCGATAGGCTTGTACGGTTGGGTACATGATGAAGTGAAAATCGGCAATTGTTTGGAAAGGGAAATTTGACTTATTATAAATATACCGTGCAAATGACTTGCCACATGGAATAGGTATGATTACATCTCCAATTATGCCACTGATAGTGCCACAGCAAATTCCAATGCTCGCAATCCAGAATAATGTAGCCATCAAACTTTTTTCGTACCGAGTTAAAAATTATTCAACCATTTTTCATTTCACAGAGAGGAAATCGGATAAGCCAAGTATACTAACTTGTAGAGGAACTATCCTTTCAAATGATGTGTGTATTTATGTATGTGTGTGCGTGTATGTGCCGCCATTCCTTATTTTGGATCTCTCAAAAAAAAAACTACGATTCGAACCTTGATCTTTTCTATCATTTGTCTGGCACCAATGCGATTCAGTTCGTCCTTGTCCATGCATCTTCTGTAGATGGATTTCAGAGCATTCATGGATTTCGAGGCGAATACCTCATTGGATTCGAATATTTCTCAAACAGATGGTGAAAAGATTTTGAAAGATCAAAATTATCAACAAATTTTAGTCGAAGTCGTAAAATCCTAAATCATGACTTTTGGTACGCCATGCAGGAGCAACATGAACCGAGAGTAAGCTTTCATATTACAAGCTAACATTTCATTCGCCTAAAGTGCGAACTATAGCGATGTGATCTGTGGTACTAAACGATTTTGCACCGTACAGTTCAAACCTTTGACTACGTACCTCGCATTTGTCCTTGTACTTTGCCTGATAGCACATCAATGACAGAGAATCTAGTTTTGTCCCTGGGAATTGGATGATTCGCTATCCAATTGCCGCAAGCAAATTCGAAAAAATCCTCGCATGGGTCAACCTGGAGTCAATAAAGCTTAGCTGTAATTTTCAACATCAATAAACGGCTAATAACCGAGAAATTAATAGATTTTGCAAACATATCCGATGCGATGTCGTATCCCGCTGATGTGCCAATGTTCTTTAGATCGTTTTCACACGGTGGCTTGATGCAAGGAACGCAGTAGCATAACGGTACCAAAAGTAGCCTCCACAGCATTGATAAGTGGGAAGTATAATTAATACAGACAGACCTTATATATGTTACTTTAAAAGACTGGTTTGTTGTTTGATTTATGTTTGGGCTCTTGTCTTTGATTCGCTGATTTCTTCTGGTGTTACTTTGAACTCTCATATCGATTAGGACTTACAGCACTGCTGACATTCTATTTAAAAAAAAGAACACACTTTCTTAACACCAATTGTGCACATCCAATTAGATGTGTTAATTCGTACTTAGGAAAGTAGGAATTTAGTCAACCGAAAATTCGGGAACCAATGTCAAAGAATAACTTTGTGAAGTTATGTGACTTTGAATGAACACAATTGATGTGAAATTTGAGGAGACTACTGCAACACGAAATTGTAG